TGGTACTGTCTGTTGGTGTTTTGCTTTTGCAGGATTATATTCACTTCCACTTTTTGGACTACATTGCCTCCTTATCATGCCATGGGAATGCGATGTTCGATGAAAAAAAGGGATGCAAGCAGAGAATCTTGATCTGTGGTTGATCAAACAGCAAAAAGTTGGAAGCGTTGATTGGATAGGTAGAGGTAGGATTTGAATGGTCAAATTTTATCTGTTACTGTTTCACAGTTTTCCAAAGATTTGAGCTCATCATGTATGTATGCTTTTTCACTCCATGTTCCCTTACAAGGGACGATAACCCAAAAAGATGCTGCATAGTAATAGTAGCACCTTCCAATTACATCTACATCCTTACTAACACGCTTTTTCATATATGGGTTGAAGTTAATTAATTTGTAAAGATCCGCATAACATGTGCTTAACAAACGAGGAGAATTTGAATACAAGACTCTTCGATTAGTAATGATAATTACCGAACCGACCGTGCGACCCCACCTGTTTGAGGCGGTTATTACTCGACTAGCAGTAGCGTGGGACGTGACATTGGTATTGCTTCTGACTTGCCCGCCCCGTTATGTAATGATTTGCATCAAAATCTACTTGTATGTCTCCTCTTTTGACCTTCTAAAAATCATATTTTCATCCCAAAAAAATTAAGACTCTCTTTCTACGGTATCTCAACACCAAAATCTGCTCCTTCTATACTTAGACAAATTCGACCCTTCCTGCCTGTGTTCAAGTAGCCTCCTTCTTCCAGCTCCTTATGGAGTTCTAGTTGGAGTCGAGAAGTGCTTGATGGCTTTCTAGAAAGCTTGCAACTCGTACTATCCCGACGGGTGAAATTCCAACCATATGGAAACCCAGAACTCAAGTTACAAGGGCGGGAAATAGGGTCCTGAACACGAGATTCAAACTCATCAACACACTTGAGTTTAGTTTCCATTCGATCCGTTGAGCTCCGAGATGAGACCTCATCAGGCCCTCCCCGTTGAAAAAGCTTTGCCCACAAAGCTTGAGTAGGCCTATAGCGAAAACGATGCAAGGTAGCTTCCCAAACAGGATCCCAAAAGTCGAATTTGCCTCCCTTTGGTTTGATCCGCCTTTGATCTTGAATTAGATGGTTTATGGTGATCATTGGGGCGACAAATTCTTCAGACAGGACATAAGTTGCTATCCACTCGAACTTTCCAGCAAATTCCTGCAAAAAATAGGAATATTTTGGAGCTAGAAATTTCCTAGTTTCCAGTGAACGGCGATGAAACTCCGAGGGAAGTCCCAAAATTGGGGATTCTTCATACGGGCTTCGATCGTCCGATTCGTGGTACCCAAGAGGTGTGCCAGGATCCCAATTATCATCCCCACACAGCGCTGAAGTTCGATGGTGCTCCATACTAAACGAAGAGCCCTCCAAGTGATTCCCGCGCTTTTCGTTGTCAAAGTCTGGTGACCGACAAATTTGAAAAGCCAAATTGGGGCTTTCTTTCTGGAGCAATTTCAATCGAGTTTCTTGTTTGCGACACGTTCGTGATCCTTCCAGCAACGGATTCCACCTCTCAATTGGCGCAGTACCCTCTTGGAACTCCAAATCCGACTTCGGGTTCTTGGCATAAAAAAATAGCCTTTCTGGGCACGAAGAAATCCACTTCGGAACCAAGGTGGTTAGGGCCGTGGTTCCGCTTTGCCAATCGCTGGAGCTTGTTGGGTGAATTTGAGGCGTGACCACACCTTCCGTGACTTCCGTAGTCAGCTCTCGCCGTTGCCGAACTTTGAGACGGTGACCCTGTAGACTCGTCAACAGGTATCTCTTGGCCACCAAAGTCTATTCAGGTCGCTTCGAGGAGGACGCTGAGCTATTGCCAAGCTCTGTGAAGCTCCGCGCAATCTTTCGTTGATCTTCGATCACCTCAGACGGAGATAATGGCAAGAGTTCCAACGTCCTTCTTCCATGGTTGAAAACATACGAGTTGGTACGCCCATTGTGCATTGCTTTCTTGTCATACTGCCATGGACGCCCTAGAAGAAGATGGGTGGCCTACATTGGGACGACATCGCATTTGGTATTGTCCATGTACGTGCCGATCTCAAACAGAACGGTAACTCGCGCGTTCACCCGAACTGATCCACAATCATTCAGCCATCTTGCTTTTTCAGTCTTCAATCTCCACTTCTTCATTGCTTCCGCACTAACTACATTCACACAACTACCTCCGTAAATGATCGTAGAGGCTAAATGTGTGTTTACCTTGCAGTGGGTATGGAAAATGTTGTGCCTCTGATTTGCTTCTGCCACCGCGGAGATGGTGTGTGCTCGATGATTGAGGAAGTTCCCTTTGGGAGGCTTGATTACTAGTGGATGATCATCTATAAGAGGGCCAGGTGGTGTTTCTACCTCGATTTCCTCGTCCACATCAGTATCTTCATCCTTCTTCTCTTCCCCTTTTTAGTTTTCATCAAACCCATACTCTCCATTGTCAAGCAAAACTAGTGCTCGCTTGTTAGGACAGTGGTCAGCTTTGTAACCCTTCCCTCGACACTTGAAGCAAGTGATCATGTCCATCTTCTCATTAGTATTAGGCCTGAATGGAGTTGGAATCTTATCTCCAACACTACGAATTGGAATTGGGGCAGCAGGTTCCGGTTTTGGGCGTGTAGCTCCATTGTTGGCAGGGAAGTTCCTGTTTCGCCCTTGAATTGAGGCAACTGTAAACGAGGCATTCGTGCCTGCTCGTAAAATCCGGTGGCCTGGAATCCTCCCTGCTCTTTCAATCGATCAGGGTAATACTCGACTCTATGCAACACAAGAGGCGTGTATTGGTAGTTTCCAGGGGGAGGAGTTGTCTGGAATTGATTTGGGTAAAAACCCGGGGTAGTGTTCCCTGCTAGGCGTGGCCCTGTTCCGGGATCGAATGCCGCAACCGGCTTCGCCATTGAAGCCGTCGGCTGGGGCATATGGTACGGAGGAGGAGGGGTAACGGGATTCTGTAGCGTGAGCGCGTCGAGTTTGACCAACACAACATCAATTTTATTCGAATGTTCTCAGATGTTGTCTCTCTGTTTATCGAGTTGTTGTTGCAGGAACGACGAGCTTTGCGCCTGGATGAACGCCAACAACTCTTCCTTCGTCATCGCTTGTAAGTCACCCACAGAGGAATCCGCCATTACGGAAGTCTCCTTCTCTTTTACTTTCTGGTAGCGAGTCTTTACCAGAGTGACGTTTGAAGTTGCTCCGGTGAGAATTTCAAGAACAGAGCGTTTTCCGGCGACGACGAAAATTTCAATTTCAAGGCTCGCAAGTCCTGTGTTTGAACCAGGCGATGATGCCACTTGATATGATCCTGGTTAGATCACTGTCAGAGTAACCAATGCAGCCAACAAGAATGGAGAAGTTTGCTTGTTTTGAAGCACAATCCGAATGTGACGACGAATCAATCGAACAACTTTCTCGTGGGAAAGAGGCTCAACGATTTAGGGTATAACTCCCACAACTGGTCGTGATTCACCAGCTGATGCTTGAGCTTGATCTCGAGCTTGGATTGAACCCAAACACACAATCAAAACACGTTCAAATGAAGAACATGAAATTAAACGAAAATAACTTATGTTTAATCTTCTTTCTCTCTACCATTACACGTTAATTGAAAGCCTTTAAATGGACAATGGTACACTATGAATCATAAGAAAGACTATCCTAACCAAACAATGAAATGTAAACTTAAACAAAATCCAAAAAGAACAATGAAACCAGAATTTCAAAGAATTCGAAGATACAAATTGAAAGATTTTTCTTCTTTCAATTCTATCCGGGGATTTTTTTAATAGAATCTTTCTAGTTACTTCGTTTTCTATTTCTTCTCCACCAAGTAAGTGCCTTGAGCTGCACGTTTTTAGTGTACTGGGTACCAACTTGGGGCTCTTAGAAAATGGGGTAAATCGCCTTGTCAAACTCATCCAACACCTTTACGTGGAAGTAGAAGTTTCCTTCTTTCGTTTGCAACTTCCAGCTGGTCCAAATCATCTCCCATCAACGAGAACCAGTCTCCCAAAGTTGGTATCTCAACACCAAAATCTGTTCCTTCTATACTTAGACAAATTCGACCCTTCCTGCCTGTGTTCAAGTATCCTCCTTCTTCCAGCTTGTTACGGAGTTCTAGTTGGAGTCGAGAAGTGCTTGATGGCTTTCTGGAAAGCTTGCAACTCGTAGTATCCCGACGGGTGAAATTCCAACCATATGGAAACCCAGAACTCAAGCTATAAGAGCTGGAAATAGGGTCCCGAACACGAGATTCAAACTCATCAACACACTTAAGTTTAGTTTCCATTCGTTCCGTTGAGCTCCGAGATGAGACCTCATCATTGTCTACATGATTGAAGTCCTGAAAGAGCCATTGAAGCCACTTTCCAAAGATAATGAATATTAACCCTAGTTTCAAAACAAAGCTCGAGAAGTAGTACTAAATAATATATTTTGGAATAAAAAAAATTATAAATATTTATTTCATAATTAACGCTTTGAAGGTAAACAAGATGCAGGAATGGCCAAGCCACACAATCACAAGAACCCAAAACCGAAAGAAGAAGTAAAGATAAAAGAAGCCCTACGATTGATTGAATTGATAGCCTACTAATCGAATAATCTACGTGTTTCACTGCCTAGGTAGTAATTCCACATCGCAATCCAAGTTTGCGGTGAGAGGTCCGGCCGGCGCGGAAGACCCGATCTTAAACGGATGACAAGCAGCTCGAATAGATCTCTTGTGCCCCTCAACCTTATCTTTTTTATTCAGGCGCAGAAACAAAGCCAGTAGCTGGAATTCGAAATCCGTGGAGGTGCCATTCTCCATATTCTTATGATCATACTGGAGGCGCAGGTTTAACATGGAGTGGCGGTTTGCATAAAACGGCGGCAAGCGACCGACGGCAATCTGGTACTGTTGGCCGGCGGCCACTTCATCGCACAGGACTGAGGCCTCGAAGGCATCGTAGTGGAGTCTGGCGGTGACCTACTCGCAAGGGAATGCCACGTCGAGGGCAAGCTGCAGGACCCCGCCGCCGTCCGCGGCCGAGTGGTTACCGCCTGTGATGAATGCGGAAGCGAGCATGACTTCCAGCCTCGAAAACCTCTCCTCTTCATATTGGACAATAAATATTGCAAGGAGTGCCAAAAGGCCCAGAGCTGGTGCGAGGAGCAATAGCCTGAATATGAATACTAGTGGGGACGTTTTGGAGTCGGGGGTCGTCCCTGATGCTGAGTCGCCGCCGCCGTTGTCTGGTGTTATCCTCATGCTTGGTCTCTTGCGATGAAATCAGATAGAAAACTAGGGCTAGGGCAGGTAATATTATATATATATATATATATATATATATATATATAATAATCTACAATAGTAATATTGGTTGATATTTATTTATTTATTGGTATGTTGTTACCTCCGGTGCGTGCGGTTATTATCATTTATGTTATTTTCTTATTACTATTATCATTTATTAGCACAGGAGGAAAAATTTTGTCGATGAATATGATATATTATAACGGATATATAATAGATGATTTGAAATGCATAAAATGATTATTTTCTACCTTAGTTATGCACATAACATATTTAAAAGAGAAAAAGATATAATATAAGTATTACTTATAATTATTAAATGAACAAAGAAATAAATATAACTAATTTTCATTCATTAGTTAATTAAACCATATAGTTGAATATTAGAGTTGTTTCTCATAATACATACATAATCAACCTTTAAGATGAAAGAAAATGTCTCTCATAGAGTTTAGTATGTCATTTAAGTTTTTTTCCAATAGAGAACATTCTTTTTACCACACCGTTGGTAATGAATCTAAAATTGCTTGATTTGAAATATATAGGACATGCTACTAAATTCTCGCTAATCGTTAGTTGGACAATATGTTGTGTATAGACTTCCAAAATTATTCTCTGCATACATGTCTAGCAACAATGTAGTAATTTTCATGCAACAAATATTTTTTTCATGAAATAATTCAATTAATAAAAACCTATGAAAATCATATTACATGAAATATATATTACTCATTAAGTTTATAAATGAGCGAGAGTATAAGTAACATACATTTATTTTAAAAATATAGAAGTTGCAAAGTGTCTTTTGGGTTGAATGAGATCGCATATTCTCATTATCACTAACTGACTGATGCTTTTTTGCAATAGATAGTTCAAAATGTGCCTTAAAACTTTTGTTACCACGTAAAAGAATTGTTTGACCAAATGATTGTAATAGTATCAAAAAATTTGGTAGTAGAGTATTTTATACTAAAATCATAATTTAAATGTGGTTCAACCGTTTCATATTGCTAAATATCACATGTCGATTCAGCCTATGGTGTGAAGTTTTATGGTCGAACCGCCAGTACATATGATCTTTCAATTCAAACTTTAAATAAAAAAAACTAAAAATTGACATTATCAAATACCCTTAAATCTCATAAATTACCATAATCGTATTAAGAAAAAAATCATCCAAATGATAATGTTGATTTAGGATTTTAAGGGATCGTTTGGAAGTTGCGATTGTTAAATAGATGTTTTGTTGTGAATGCATGTATAAAATTATATATGCATTGTGTATGTCACATATGCTAAAAGCTGAGACAAAACAATCTCAACTCAACTGACAACTATCTCAACAATCACAACTAAAAGTTGAGATATAACAATCACTCATTTTGAGTGATAGTTTCTGTCACATCACATATGTAATTCATGCATTGTTTTTACTAAAAAATAAAAAATGATACATTCTAAATAATACATTATAGTAACAATCTCAACAAAACAATCGCAACTTTCAAACAACCCCTTAATTGAAATGAAAAAAATCTATCAAATATAATGTCATCTCCTAAAATAAATTAAAACTCAATAGGGCCAAGAATACCCACTAAGCAAAGCAAAAGGATAATTATTCCACACTACCTCATTTTCCCCTCTTTTAAATGTGTCATCTCACTCTCTCTTATGTCTCGTTCACTTGCCATTTTGTTTTCTGTTTTCTGGTGTGACAACAAAAACTCAAAAAACAAATGGTAAGAAACGTGTTCACTTGCAATTTCATTATCGTTGGAAAAAAAACCATGGGAAATAAAAGAGGCAGCTAGCGGAAACAATAAAAGATCGTTCGCTCAAAAAAGAGGGACGGATTTTCCCTGTTGCCCAACGAGTTACGCCCCCATTCCTTTTAATGAGCCCAGCGTTGGAATCACTCGGCCACTTTTTTTTTCCTTTTGTTCACTTAGACCAATGTTATCATTTTGCTAACCCCAGGTCCCATCGTTCTTCTCCCAGCCTCCCCCGAACTCGACCTCCCAATCGAACGAATCTGCTACAATCCGCCTCTTCTTCTTCTAGTGGAGAGAGAGAAGATCGATCCGGCGAGCTCCTTCTCCAATCGGCGAAGCTCCAGCCGGCGAGCTCCTTCTCCAGTCGGCGAACGATGGGTTTGCTTTGAGATGCCAGCAGGTATTACCTGTCCACCGCCTAAGTTAATCATTCTTAAGGGATTAGATCCTCGAGGTCATATCAACAGAGGTGTGGATTAGGCGGTGATGGCTACACTTGCCCAGCAGGTTCTCGATAATCCTCTTTGTTTTTCCGTTTGTTCTTCCATCTCTCTCTCTGAACTTTGTATCTCACCACTCTCCCCCTTTCCCTTCCTCTTTCTTCTCACCGCCTGGAATCGAGAGAAACCTAGAAACATCCCAATTACTTCTCCAAGTTTGCGTTCGAAATGCTTCTTCTCCATTCACAGTCGATAGTATAAATCAAAGGACCTGAAACATGGCGAACGGATGGCCGCTTATTCCTCTCAAATGGGGCATTTCTCCATAAAACATGAGTTCACCAATCTAGACTGTGTGGTGTTCGCAATTGTGCGCGAGCTCTTGAAGTTAAAGTCTGGTACGACCCATGAAGCATTCATGCTTGTATAGGGCCGATCCATATACATTGTCTTCATGGTATGCTCTAATTGTGTCATGCTAGCTCGACCATGTGCCTGGGTATAGTTATATGCATTATAATAATTAAGTTTTTACCTATTCGCAACACCAAGATCAAAAAATAGTCATAAATACACCGAGTATTTGATTTTGACTACCTAATAAAATACTACATTTGAACCAACTACCACTGATGCCAGAAATAATAAGTATATCTCAAAATCATACATAACATATTTCAAACATCACAAATATTAAGATTAAATTAATTATTATAAAGAGTAAAAATTGTATAATGAGGTTAACTATAACTCATTTATATGTTAATACCCTTAAATTGGTCAACACATCCAAAAATGGCTAAATGAACATCACATTAAATCCAATATCGTCTCATTATTGTCGGGTCCATTCATTCCAGATTAGCAAGAGGTTTAATGTTTAGTAATTAACCAGGCTAAAAATTTAGAGAACCAGTCACCTATAGTTTGTACAAAATATTATTGTTTCGTAGAAGTTCTGAAAATTTATGTAAATTTAAAGAATTCTACACATCTTTTGCATATTCAATACTGCAATTCGATATGCAATATTTCAAGCATTGAAATTTGTGTTGCAATTTTAAGATTACCCGTCATTTTATAGGTTATAAAAAATTATAAATCACATATTAAACTTTGTTTTTCAGAAGACTTAATAGGCTAGCTAACCGTGTTGGAAAATTCCTCTGCTTTTCAAATCTTCGCTAAGTGTATGCTTACAATTGAAGAAGATAAACCAAATTATTATATCTTATAGAAAGTAATTAATTGTATGTGTGGTACAGTTTAGATAGAATACATGTGTGTAGCCAAAATATGGGTCTTCGTGACATATATAGTAATTTTTTGTGACAAATCTACACATAATATAAAGATAAAATTGGCGCTATGACGAAAAAGAGGTTCGTAGAATCACTCTCAGACCACAAAATTTAAAAGGAAACTCTCATTTTCCAATTTTATCATTATATTATGTGTAGATTTGGTCAAAAAATGACTATACTCGTTACAAAAGTCCATGTTTTGGTTACACTTATGTATTTTGTCTAAACTTATCTAACCTAAACTACACATACAATTTAATATTAATGTTTGAATCAATGTTACTTGAGTTTCGATTTTAGAACTAATGTCTTTCTATAAAATATAAATAACTTAAGATAAACTATAAATATAGAAGCATCATCGCCAAACATATTCCTAGAGTTTAATAAAAAAAATAACAATAAACACAATGTAGTCTAGTTGGTTATAATGCTCTTTCTTCATTTAAGTGACTAGAGTTCGAACTCCAATAATAACAATTTTAATATATAAAGATGAAGTGAGTGCAATGACAAAAATGACCTTACTAGAATCACTCTCAGGCCACGAAATTTGAAATTGGACAATTCCAACCCATGTTTTGCCTTTATGTATCTTGTAAATATTATTGTTACTTTATTAGTAGCATTAGAGTTTGACTCGACCAATGAATTTTGTTTTGATAAGTTTTTAATTTTAAGCGTTGATTGCAATCATGGTTGTCATGCCGGTGGCATGCCACCCGGTTGAACCTGGGCCGGTCATGAAATCGACATGACACCACCGGTATACCCGGTATGATTGACTTACGCATTCTAAGTAAAATGATATCATTTTAATGAATTTAATGAATAAAAAATCAATTTATTATTCATTTTATGAATGTAATAGTTAAAAGTTGATGATATTTGTTGGATTGTAACTAAACTGTCCACAAATATGTTTTATATATGATTAAATACATTGGATATTAATTGTTTTCACATTTTTTTAAACCGGCATGAACCGACACAAAATGATTATACCACCGGTCGTACCATTCCATTTGCCAAACCGGCACAACCGTATAAACCGGTTTGACTGATTGCAATTAACTACAAATTTGTAAAGGGAGGGCGCAATTGTCATTTTGAAAAAAAAATGTGACGCCCTTTCAACTACGCGTAGTTGCCATGTGGGTGCAGATTCATAGCATTCATCAAAATCAGAGGAGCGAGGAGAACATGGTGGCGATAGGTACTCATTACTTTCCAGGGATGCTCGATCTAGACAGAGCTAGCTTGGCTTTCACCGGGTACAGGAAGTTCCTAAGGATTCTGGTGGAGGTCGACATTGAAGAACCAGTAACGATCGGTTTCGACTTCCCATTCATAGACGAAACCACGGGAGACGAGCACTGTGATGTGATCGAGTTCAAGTATGAGAGGTTGGTGGAGCTGTGCTATTCCTGTGGAAGAGTTGGCCACAATTGGTCGACGTGTTGGAGGATGAACGAAGAAAGGAAGAGGAATGGAGTAGCGCACCTGTCGGAGGTCTACAACTCGTCTCTCAAGGCAAGTATCGATTCGCCCCATAGACTCCAATCAAGCAACTACAGAAGCAGCAGGGAAGGGGAAGGGTCACAGAGCTATTCGACAAGCAGGGAGAAAGCGAGCTCGGGAAGCCAAAGTAGACTGGAAGGGGCTGAGGGAAGAGCTTCGGCCGACTCGGAGGGCAGAATCTCAAAAGGGAATGTTCAAATTCCTCCAGGGTTTACGGTGAGAAGGCTGGAACAGGAGGTCTAAGGCGAGGAGGAACAAGGATCGATGGGAAGGTGGAGAGGGAGATACAGAGAAGAGAGGGGGGCGACTAACCTGAATATGGAGATGGACACGGCGGCGGCGGCGATGGAGGTAGGGCTTCGGTTGGAGGAGGTGAGGGCTGATCAGGAGGTGGGGTGGAGTCCAGTGAGGGTGGAGACAACTTTGTCTCTTGGGCCAACCCAACCAATAATTCCAGCCCAATGCCCACCACAAGCAGGACCAAATGGGATTAATGAGTATCAGCATATCCAAGATGGAAGGGAAGAGGAGTTGGGCCGAAAGCAAAAGAAAAGGAAGGGAATGTGCCTGCTGTGTGGTCTCAGGACCAGTGCCGAGTTAAGGGAAGAAGAAGTGGTTTTTGATGGGCCAACGGGAGTGTTTGAATTGGGTGGGCCGGGGACTGTACCCAGAAGGAAGAATCTGAAGGTTAAGTCCGGGAAAAATAATACCTCCAAAGGGAACCAGTCAAAAATCGAGCAGGAGGGCCGAGGAAAGAAGAAAAAGGCAGCGGTGGTTCGCCAGAAGCCACCTCTCCCAGAATGAGTATGGTAAGTTGGAACTGTAGGGGTTTTGGCCCAACCCTTACAAGAAGTTATGAGAAACGTCTGTGTAGACGTTTAGGCCCTTCGATTGTTTTCCTCATGGAAACGAGCAAAAATGAGACATTCATGGAGGAGCAAAGAAGAAGTCTCAAAAATTTCCCCAACAAAGAGTATGTCGAACCGGTTAACTCTTCTAGGGGTTTTTCACTTTGGTGGAAAGCGGGTATTAGTATTAATATTATAAGTAGTGATAGCTATTATATGGACTGTAGTATCAATATGGGTAGGAAGCTCTTCTGTACTTTTGTTCATGCACCCTCTACCGCGGTTAGTAAAAGGGATTTTTGGGAGCACCTGAGCTCTCTTCGGAGTAGTAGGGAGGATAACTGGGTTATTGTTGGAGATTTCAATGCTGCTATTTATGAAAGTGAGAAGGAAGAGAGATGCCCTCTTAGGTACGAGAATGTTGAACCGTTTAAAAGATTTATTTTCGACAATGCGCTTATTGATCTAGGATTTAATGGTGATCCCTTTACTTGGACCAATAAACGAATAGGCGAAGATACAACGAGAGTCCGACTTGATCGGGTATTGTGTTCGACTTCATGGAGAGTCCTCTTCGGGGATGCAATTGTTTTCTATGAAAAGATGGTGGCATCGGATCATTGCCCTATCAGGCTTTAACTCTGTTTTAGAGGGAATAGGAGGAGAAAGACACCCTTCAGAGTAGATGAAAGATGGTTGGATAAGGAGGAATGCAAAGAGATAGTGGTCCGAGCTTGGGATCGAGGAGGGATATCGACAAACCAGCTGGCCAAGTGCGAGCAAGATCTTAAAGAATGGTCAAAAGACTTCCATAGGAACAGCTTACAAAGAGAGAAGGATATACTAGAGCGAATGAATATTCTACAATGTCCTCAAAGAACCCAGGAAAGGGTGTAGGAAGAAAAAAGTCTCATCGAAGAACTGTCAAAGATGTGGAGGGAGGAGGAGGAGTTCTGGAATCAGTGCTCAAGAGTAAGCTGGCTGCAGAAAGGTGATCGGAATAACTCCTTCACCATTCTAGCGCGATCCATAGGAAGCATAAGAATAGAATTCTTAGACTCAAGGATGAAAGAGGGGAGTGGGTGGAGGATGAAGATAGGCTTAAAGGTATGGCCCAGGATTTCCACAAAGATCTCTTTAGAGCTAGAGACCGTATTCCCTTTTCCCACCTTATGGATGGTTTCCCAGAAAAGGTTACAGATGAGATGAATGAAGCTCTCTGTGCCCCAGTGAGAGGAGAGGAAATTAGGAAAGCGGTTTTCTCATTGGGAGCAAAAAGGGCTCCAGGTCCGGATGGTTTCTCGGGTAGGTTTTACGGGAGATTCTGGGATATTGTTGGGGAATCGGTGTGTAGAGAGGTAAAGGAGTGTTTTGAAACAGCTGCTATGCCGAATGGATGGAATGATACACATATCATCATGATTCCTAAAGTGGACCACCCAGAATTGATAAGCCAGTTTCGACCTATCAGTTGCTGCAATTTTAGATATAAAATTATATCGAAGATCATGGCAACCCGCTTGAAGATCTGGACGCCTGATCTAATCTCGGAGCTCCAAACTGCTTTCACCGGAGGCCGGCTTATCCAAGACAATGTCATTATTGTCCACGAGGCCCTACACCACTTCAAAAACCATAAGAGGAGAAGGATAAGGGACATGATGCTCAAGTTGGACATGAAGAAGGCGTATGATATGGTGGACTGGGAATGTCTTGAAACGCTGCTGAAGAAATATGGTTTTGATGATAGATTGTGTAGATGGGTTAGCTCGTGCATCAGGACGGTCAACTTTTCCATCCTTTTTAATGGGGAAGCAACAGAGGAGTTCAATCCGTCAAGGGGAATCAGACAGGGAGACCCTCTCTCCTTTTCTTTTCATTCTAATGTCTAATGCTCTTACCTTCCTGATTGACAAAGTGGTTTCCCAGAACCAGTTAAAGGGTATAAGGTTGAACGCGAGATGCCCGATTCTCACTCACTGCTTGTTTGCAAATGATACGGTGATCTTTGGTAAGGCTGACCTTCAAGAAGCAGAGAAAATATTGGACCTTATAAGAGAGTATGGTACCATCACGGGTCAAGAAGTGAATATCAACAAATCATCTGTTTTCTTCAGTGCGAATGTACCCGAGGTGGACAAAGCTGCAATCATTGGTCACATCGGGTTTGCCTCGTCTAACTGCCACACCAAATATTTAGGAGTACCAATGGAATGGGGAAATTCGAAGAAGGAAACTTTCCAATTCCTAATTCAGAGAATGAAAAAGATGGGTGAAGCATGGAAAAGCCTCCTCCTCTCTCATGGAGGGAAAGAAGTGTTACTCAAAGCTGTCATTCATGCTATTCCATCCTACATCATGTACCTTTTTAACCTCCCGGTGAACCTGACAAAGAAGATGGACTCCCTCCTCACCAATTTTTTCTGGTCAGGGTCAATGCAGAAAAGCACAATGCACTGGTGCAGGAAGGAAATCTTATGTGCTCCAAAAGCTGAGGGGGGATTGGGATTCCGAAGCTTCAAAGATTTTAACATGGCCTTGTTTTGTTAGCTAAACAAGCGTGGAGAATCCTTAACTCCCCTGAGCTCTTAGATCCGCATGTGTTTCTATCTTCTTCGTCGGAAGTTCCGGAAGCTGGTACCATTCAGAAGGTTGTTGACCTCGTGTATGCTTGTACTCAACATGTACCATCCATGCGGCCTAGAATGTCTCATGTTGTTCACCAGCTACAACAGTTGGGCCATCAATCCTCTGTTGTTTAAATGTAAGTTTCATTTGTGTCGTAGAGCTTGCACTTATAACAACAGTAGATAGACCTGTCCCGTTTCGGGTCGAGGAGGAAGTGTATCTGTTCTAAACTAGTTTTTGTGATGACCTGTATCTTATTAGGAACCTCAATTGCAGCCTTTGCTTGCCGTTTATTTGTTCATGAGTAGTCTGTTCTTTAGGTTTTTGCTATGTTAGTCAAAATATAGCAGAAAGGAGTCGGACAAAGATTCTCTCAATTTCAGTGACCTTGGGTATGATGATAGTGATACCTTGAACTGGCTCAGAATTGCGTAAAAATGAAAAACTGACAGATAGTAGTTATATTACAATTTTTTCCCTCGTTATTCTGTACACAAATTTCTTATTTACATATGAGTTTCGAGAAATGCGAGCATGGCCAAACCAGTAGCCCAGACATCTTCATCCAACACATGCTCAGCAGGAGAGTGACTAACTCCTCCCCGGCAGCGTACGAAGAGCATTTCGACTTGTTCCATTGTTACAGATAGCAGTTATGAAACGTATAACCATGAGCGGAGTACCTTAAGTAAATAGAGGAAGATGGGTGAAGATGATAAACCCTTACCTTGGTAAGATGAGCCATAACCATTGCATCATGCCCAGCACCACTCATCAAGACAGAAACTTCGTCTTGGACCTCGCCTGTCATTCTCTCGATTGCAGCATTGGCTGCAAACTTCAGTTGTGGAGTTAACTCTGAATCGCAGAGCACTGCGTTTGCATCATGCTACAACAAAAACCAGCAACCGTTCAGTCTAGCTTGCAGTTCTGCTCCTACCAAAAGCTTCATAAGGGTACTATCGAAGATATAAGCAGTCAACTGAACTCTCACCTTGCGATCAATATTGCAGGAGATGGATCGTTTATCACATATTTGATATATCTGATCAGATAATTCATACAGAATGGCTTCCCGACCCATGTCATCCATTGCACGCAAATCCACAGTGAAAGTTACCTTTGGACATGAAGACAACATTTTTTAGGCCCAAAAGGTGATGTGATGGATTGTTGTTGTACATACCATACATTGCATGCTATCGACAGTGGAATTCTTTGTCATAATAAAGAAAAGCTTACCTGGCCTGGAATGACGTTGCTTGCACTTGGCCAAGTGGAAATCTCGCCAACAGTACAAACCAGGGAATTGGAAAGTGATTCCACAGTTGCATCATTGCACTGACTGTCATAGGATAGAAATTGCTTAGGATTCTTGCAAATGGTTTCCAACCTCAGAATTAGTTCAGCAGCAGCAGCCATAGGGTCTTGACGCATGGACATGGGAACTGTTCCAGCATGTCTTTGTGAGCCACTCATAGTAATCTGCAAAATACCGAGTGTCCTTGATTGCGTTTTTACTGACCTAAGTGAAAGTTAATCAAGACTCGAGAGACGGTCTAAACAGGTTTGTTACCTTTAGCCTTGTCTGCCCAGCTATGCCCTCCACAACACCAAGCGGAAATCCAACCCATTCCAGGATTGGTCCTTGTTCAATATGGACCTGGAAACATAGTCTGGATGTCAACAGCTGAGTCTAAAAGGAAATTCAATGATCTTCTTAAAGACGCATTTGAAGTACTTGTTTACCTCAACATAACCCCAGACAGACTGCGGATCCTACTTGAGTTGTCGTAGGCTTTCTTCTGTAATTGCAAAAGCGTTCTGCTTAAGAGCATCTTGCAATGTTGCACCGCTGGTACAAGGATTGATTCTTGAATACAAACCAAAACAGGGAAAAAGGATCTTTAGTACTTCGAAATCAATATGAACAGTTGCCCAATGAGACCTTTTGTTAGTTGTGTTCAAAGTTGAAGCTGGAAGGACACCCGCTAGAGCAGCACTGCCAAGAAAAGTAGACTGAAACCTCACTCCCTCCTCATCACTGAAGGCAATGATCTACAAGAATCAGAAAACAAACAACACTTAAG